TGGCACGTGCGCTCGCACACGGGCGAGTACATCTTCTCCTGCTCACTGTGCCGCTTCCCCGCAAACCGGAGCGTGGAGGTCGTCGAACACTGCATGGACCGGCACCCGGGGCGGCGCGACGCGGCGGCGGTGGAGCTATGCGGCAGAGGCGAGGCGGCGAGACGCCTGGACACGATGTACGAGTGCACGGCGTGCGGGGTCGTCAAGGTGGATGCGGCGGGCGCGGAGCAGCATGTGCGGCTTTGCCGCGGCAACGCACCCGGCGTGGAGGAGCACATGTGGTGTCGCAACGGAAAGGTGCCGAAGCTGAGAGAGGTGCCGCTGTCGGACGGGAAAGCCGCCGCTTCCCTTCCTCTGATCCCCGCGGGACGAGCTTGCGGAGAGGCTTGCGAGAGGGAGGCTTACGATACTATCGAGAGGAAGGCTTGCGTTGAGAAGGAAGCTTGTATCGAGAAGGAAGCTTGCATCACAAAGAAAGCTTGCATTGAGAAGGAAGATTGCATTACAAAGGAAGCTTGCATTGAGAAGGAAGCTTGCGTTGAGAAGGAAACTTGCTTTGAGCGAGAAACCTGTAGCAGCACTGCGACCGAGAAAGTAGACGTTTGCAACAACAACATTGCCATGGTCGACGGACGTCTTCGCGAAAAACACGCGCTCGACGAAAACAAACGAACGTCGCACAAAGAGGTCTGCGACGTCGCGACAGCGACAAAAGAACATCTCTATAACACGACCTCGCTCCACAAAGATGTGCACAGCGACGCATCGGTCGACGTGCCCACAACAAGCGAACGTCTCTATGAGACTACCTTGATCCACAAAGACGCATGCAGCGACACATCAGTCGACGCACCCACAACAACAAGCAAACGTCTCTACGACACAACCATGCTCCACAAAGACGCACGCGGCGACGCATCGGTCGACGCGCCCACAACGACAAGCGAACGTCTCTCCGACACAACCATGCTCCACAAAGACGCACGCGGCGACGCATCGGTCGACGCGCCCACAACGACAAGCG